TCTCTAATGCTGAATGCCATTTATTGAAGGAGGGAAGAGGTCTTAAATACAGGCTCACAGCACAACGGGAGAACCCCGGAGGGCAGAAGTTCACTCCAATGTTTTACAATCTTGCATCTAAGCTGTTAACATCCATTATGCCGGATACACAGACAAGGAACTTCCCTTAGGCATGCCAGTGGAACCCGGCAGGGAATTAGCATAGGAAGGATATCAAGGTCAAGGTCAGCAGGCAAGACAACAGTTACCCAAAACGGGGGGGGCGGGGGGGGGGGGCCCTTTTACTAAAAAATGAGCTTGTGACTTAGGTTGTGTGGGACGTCAGCAGGTCACCTTACCTGTCATGGAGATGCCTGCCCAGGTCACACAGGTGCTCTGTCTTAGGTTGGTGAGCGCCCCCCCAGGCATTACCCATCTCTGAATACTCATCATACAGGCTCAATCATGTGTGAGCTGCAGAATTAACTGCTGCCAAAGATCTCAAAGTGGCGCTGGGCTTGCAATCTGTGTGTTTGACACAGAAAAGACCAACAGAAGTCCTAACCCACCCATAGCCAGTAGGCTAAAGGCAACTGAGTAGACACTTAATCTCTTAAGAGAATTTTCATTGATTTCTCTTTCCCTGGGGTGCTGTCCAAAGAAATCTGGATGAACTGTAAAGTAGAAAGGCCTCAAGGCATTGATGGCTTCTGCTCCTGATAGAGCTCAAGAGTAGTGAAGCCAATGAGGGAAGATCTTCTTCAGGCAGAACCTCTTCAAAGGCTTCAGGTGGCAAAACATTTCTGAATATGCACGCCAACTTCCAAGCATCCATTAACTGCCTATATACAGGCCTTGGTGCTGCTCCAGGGTCCAATTAAACCCACTGAATTTAATTCATCCAGTTGAGTGTCTACCTGCGGGGTTCTGAAAGGAGCTTCAGGAGACACAGCCTGCGCTCCTGCGCTGACTATGTCTGAGTGAGAATCATCCTCTTTATTTTTTAAAAATAATCTTGTGCCCCGTGGTTCACAGAGAAAGTCAGCAAACACCTTTATGAAAACAATACTCCTGATGCTATATCAACAATTGCTCTATATTTGTGTTTTAAATTTCAAGACGTCGGTGACAACTGCTTTAAGAGGTGGGTTCTATTTCTAACCTTTCTGATGGGTCAGGAAACCAAAACAAACATTGCCCAAGTTCATGAATGACAAAGTCAGGTTCCAAAGCCCGATGTTTAAGCTCCATGGGCTGTCCTCTTAATCATGCGTTTGTGTACCCTTCACTAAAGTGCAGATTCACAGGCCCGTCCACAACCAGAGTTTAACCAGTGTTAAACATTTGAGAACTACCAATAGACGAGCGCCCTCTAGTGGCTATACTCGACTGTTACACCATTCTCAATGAATGAGGTTTAAAAACTTTTTTTTTTTGAGATTACAATATTTACATTCTCCGATGTTTTACAGTCTTGCATCTAAGCTGTTTAGTGAGTTGTTCTCCCAAATATAATTTCTAAATAAATAGTTCCATTATCAGTATCTGTGGATTATCTGCAATACCCAACCCCAATCTCTTGAAGTCCCCTTCTCTCTCCTCCTTTCAAGTCCTCCGATGTATGAACCAGACTTTGTGATGCTCATGTATCCTACAGGCGAAGCAGGATAAATTATTTTCATTACGATGACTCTTTAATGACCTTCAATTTGGCTTTGTCACTAGTGTATGAATAGTACCAGATGGCTCTCATTAGCACCCATTTAGTTCCAGAAATTAAATTTCATTAAAAATTTAAATTACATGCTGTGTGTCTATGTGTTTGTTCATTTATTTATGCTTGTATGCATATGTGTGTGTACATATCAAAGCACCTGAGGAGGTCAAAAGCCAACTTTTGCTGGTCAGTTCTCTCCTTAAGCTATGTGGGTCTCAAGGATCAAAATTAGGTCATTCATCAGATTTGAGGCAAGCACCTTTGCGCACTGAACCATCTCTCCAGCTCAAAATTCAGCTTTATTTCTGGAAGTCCACATCCCAACTGACAAGAGGGAAGCACTGTGCCAGTGGCAGATTTCACTCATCGCGGCTGCAGGGGCTTCCCTGCCATCAGTTACCTTCAGTAGGGCCTGCTCAGTTTATTTCACAACATGAATAATTTTAGATTCGTGTCCCTCATTTTCCCTCTTGTCCTCTTTAGATGAAAGTTGGAAGGATGAGAATCCATTAACTATTTATTATACTATATATGTTATACACATTTAGTAATGATATGTGTATAGATCTCCCCCATTTCCTGGGTAAATAACTGGATTGTTATTTATCCCCAAACAGAAACTGCTAGGTAACACTTGTCAGGCTGGAGCCAAGTGTCTATAAGTCCAAAGTCCCTAAGGTTAGAGGATCAAACAACGATGACGTTTGTTCTTTCTGAGGCAACTGTCAACAGGCAGCCGTCTGGGGGTGCAGAATGCTGCGCTAGTTCTTTGCTCAGACCACACATTGAAAAGTAGAATGAACTCAGAGCAGCTTGTCTGGTCCCCACCCTTACATCTGTATCCTGGTCATAGAAGAACACCTCCTTTCATTTAGTGGCCAAATCCAGAGGTGGCACACAGATGTCTTCACATCCCACTGTCTGTAATTTGGTCAGAAACTTTAAGAGATTGGGGTTGGGTATTGCAGATAATCCACAGATACTGATAATGGAACTATTTATTTAGAAATTATATTGGGAAGAACAACTCACTAAACAGAATAAGGCAAAATGGTCACAGAGTCCTGGAAGGCTGATGTCCTGTTCCACGCTGCGCCTGCTGCCTGAGTTAGTCTGCACCATCCAAGCCCAGGAGGGAGAGAAGAGTGCAAGGCATACATGCCCCACAGGTCTTAAACTAGCCTCGAGGCCACGCCCTAGGGGCTGGAACCTCAAGGTCATAGGTTGAACAGGTGCCCACTACAGTTCTTAAGAGGAAGCTATGTGTCTATTTAAACCTGGAGTGCTGTTATTAGAGGAAGTGAAAAAAATGAAATGGATTTTTGGTGGGAAAATAGCTCTTTTGCTCACAGGATACTTCATTTGGACAACTTTATATATATATTTTTTCAAGTGCTGATTTTTCACAGAAATTATGACAAAAATGTCCTGTGTTTCAACAAGTCTAGTTAATGAGATGTTACAGTTCTTGCAGAGGTGCTGCTGGTTCTGTTGAAATCCATGTTGTCTTCATGGGCCTTCTGGCTGGGGACTTCAGTATATGAACCAAGGCAATTAGTTGGGAAGTAGTTGCTGGCGGTCCCTAAACTGCTCTCTCCAGCGTGCACAGATTACAGCTAGTTACCCTGCTTGCGTTAAGTTATTTCCAGTTCCCCAACCACACAATTCAAATGTTAGTGAGCAGCTTTGGCTTACTGTGTCAAGTACAAACTTTAAGTTACCTCTTTGGCTCACAAATCATGAGGTAAATAGCAGTGTTCTTAGTGGTCACTGATCAATCGTGTTACTTTCTGAGCCTGCTTCATAGATGTTCAGGGTGCTATTTGTATAGCTAATGCTGTTTCCTTGTCTCCCGGAGGTAGACCTGTGTGACATTTTATAAAAATGAATGATTGAAAAAGGGAATTATTTAACAAGGGAGAAAGTGAAGGAAGGAAAGAGAAAGTGAGTGGTAACCATGGAAGTGAGGGTCTGGCCAAACTTAAGTGGAATTACAGGAGAAATTACTGACCCAGGGAATGACACTGTTCTCATTTTGAGGCACCTATATGAGATGGAGAAAATTATTAGTCAAAGTTTGTTAGGACTACCTGTGTGTATTTATTAAGAGAGAGGAAGCTGGGTGGTGGTGGTGCATACCCTTAATCCCAGCACTGGGGAGGCAGAGGCAGGCAGATCTTTCTGAGTTCGAGGCCAACCTAGCCTACAGATGCAGGGAAACAGTGTCTTGAAAAACCGAAAGAGAGAGAGAGAGAGGGAGAGAGAGGGAGAGAGAGGGAGAGAGAGAGAGAGAGAGAGAGAGAGAGAGAGAGAGAGAGAGAGAGAGAGAGAAGAAGAAGAAGAAGAAGAAGAAGAAGAAGAAGGAGGAGGAGGAGGAGGAACAGGAGGAGGAGGAGGAGGAGGGGGAGGAGGAGGAGGAGAGAGAAGCATGCATGTGAGCGTGCTTATGTTTCAAGGATGTTTGAGTCTGTCTAAGCTCAAATCTGTAGCTCATCCATTACTCTATTTGAGTCTTCAACTGATTGACTTAGGTTTGCACATATCTTGGAAGGTAGACTGTCCACCCACACAAATTTCAGTTTCATGTGAAACTACCCTTACATGAACATACAGAAAAATGTTTGACAAAATATCTAGGAAATGTGGCCCAGCATATGAAAAGTAAAACTTATAGAAGCAGTTAGTGAGATTGTTCAGCAGGTAAAGGTATTTGCTACCAAGCCTGGTGACTTGAATTCAGTCCTTTGGTCCCACGTGGTAGAAGGAGAGAGCACTGATTGCCATCTCACCTCCACAGGTAATAAAAATTGTTAAAAAAAAAAAAGAACTTACAGACATCAAACTATTTAATACACACAAAGAACCTGTTAGAGTTGAACCAAGATGATCCAGAGGAAGTAAAGTGGGTTGGAAAGAAAAACAAGCTGACCAACCACCACCACCACCACCACCACCACCACCAACAACAACAACCCAACAACACTAAAGGCACTACTGGAATATTTCAAAAGACTGAAAGCCCAATATATGTAATATCTTAAGCTGGTCCAGAATAGAGACAAGTGTGACAATTTAGCAAGGCCCAGGAAAGGCTCCTCCTCTAGGCCATAGTATATACAATAAGAGCAAGGAGGTGAGCATGCTCAACCTATTCTCCAAAAGTACAAAGAAGCAAAACATTCCACGTCTCAACATCACCAGTGTTTTAAATTACTAAGTGGTTAATACCTCAGATATTCTTTTATTTATAATTTATTATCACTTAGATTTTATGTGTTGACAAAAATACTAATGAGCCCAGAAAGACCCAACATTTTCTATTTATTATTAAGAATGACATACTGCCTTTAGCCTGAGGGCCATTTTTATTGTCCTGCAGCACCATGCAGAGTGAGGTCTGCAGGTGGAGTAATTCATCTGAAGCCCCGATCTCATGGCTCCGACAGAGTTTCTACTTCAGTGTTGAGTGGGCCAATAGCGTCTCTGTTTCCTGAAGCTCTTGGCTTAAAGGCAGTCAAGGACTTTCTAGATTCCAGAACTTTCTTCTATTGGGCACTTGTACTCTATTGATCAGACAGTAGCACTTAAAAAGCAAAACAAAACAAAGGTTTTTTTTTTTGAGACAGGGTTTCTCTGTGTAGTTTTGGTGCCTGTCCTGGAACTCGCTCTGTAGATCAGGTTAGCCTCGAACTCACAGAGATTCGCCTGGCTCTGCCTCCCGAGTGCTGGGATTAAAGGTGTGCGCCACCACAGCCGGGCCTGATTCTCTCTTCTTTCTGCCATCTTACCCACTGCTTCAGTGACACTGCATCAGAGGCCTGAAGGCTTCTGGTTTCCTTTGTCCCTTGATAAGCTTCGGTGCTCTTCTTCTTGACTTTGAACCCCATGCTCTAAACGGGTTTCTGTGTGAACCTTCTTCAGCACCATAGGCTGCTCACCTGTCCTTAGCCCTCGACCCCTTGGAGGTCCTCGTCTTCGTTTATACAGCAACCCACCTGCAGCAAAAAGCCTTTCAAATGCGGTTTTCCCTCTCTGCTTTCATCCAAAGGCTCTTCACTTCTCAGAAGCAGGTTCCAAGAATGGGGTAAAAACATTACTCTAGGTAGATGCAGAGAACAAAGAGAACTGATTTGCCATCCAAATCTAAAGTGATGCCAGTCTGGTTTAAGATAAAACCTCTTAAATGTGTATTTTCCAAGAGTGATCCCTCCTACCAGATGGGACGAATGTTTGGGGATCTGGGCGGAAGCAGAGTGAGTACCTTTTCTTGACTAAGTATTGCTGTGGATGATTGTTTGATAAATAAAACACTGGTTGGCCAGTAGCCAGCCAGGAAGTATAGGCAGGACTAGCAGAGAGGAGAAAAGGAAAGGACAGGAAGGCAGGAAGGGGAGACACCAGCTGCATCCAGGGAGCATCATGTAGAGGCAACAGGTAAAGCCACGGAACACGTGGTGACATATAGATTAACAAAATTGGGCTTAGTATAAGAGTAAGAGCTAGACAATGGTAGGCCTGAGCTAATGGCCGAGCAGTTTAAATAATATAAGAGTCGGTGTGTTTATTTTATAAGTGGGATCTGAGACTGACTAGGCTTGGCGGGAGCTGGAGAGAAACTCTCCAGTTACAAAGTATCTTTGGTTGTGAGTGCCGTGAAGACAGGAAGGAAGTGAAGAGAGGAGCACATAAGCAATGTTGAATTTCTTTCTCATTATATATGATGAAGGCTCCTCACAAGGTATCCAAGACTCACTATTCCTTGACTGCTTAAAACAAAGCACATGCACACATATACCGTTACTTTGTCCCCAAGGTCTTTCTTCTCAAAAGACCCAGACTGCTCTTTGGCTCCCGACATGAGCATGGTTGATATGGAATGAGAATGGCATTGATACTGAAAGGGTCTGATGGTCACACAGCCCTAAACCCTAGCAAATGTAACACTTTCAGTTCTTTGGCTAACTAGGAAGAAATAACTATACTGTCAGTTGAATGTATTAAATACTTGCCTCCTGCCCCTCACTGTTCATAAATGACTGGCTCTGTGCTTGCTAGTTCTGAATTACCTTTTAAAAAAAACATAAACAAACAAACAAACAAAAACCCCAAGCAACCTTGAGACATAGTGAAGTTCTCCAGAATCAACTTCAATACTTTGTTTTAAAAATTATTTGAGTGCTATTTCTACCTACCTGTGTGAACAGCCAATTAAAATTACTTTAAAGAAAGAGCAAGTCAACCACACTAAATTACACTGCATACTTAATATATAGGGTTGTTGTAGGCTAGACTGGTCTCAAACTTACAGTAATCCTCCTGCTTCAGCATCACTTGTGTTGGCATAACAGATATATTGACTTAAGGCAATTCCTTACTGATCTCTTAAGATTAAGAAAAGTCTGTACGAAGATGAAAAATTCAAAATGTAAATCCTAGGGCAAAATATTAAAATCTCAAAAACTTTACTTCTTTGTTAATTTCATTTTCCTCACAACCCCATGAGAATTCCTAAGTTGGTAGGAAGCATGCCAGGGCCATGTTTAGCAATACCTTGTTACTAATTAGCCTGTGTTTCTCTATCTGTTTGAAAGCAATGGAACAGAGTTGGTTTGATAAGACATGACTCATGTTTGGATATCACAGAGAATTGATAAACAGTGTAATTTAGGGAAGATGCTTGGAAATTGTGTATGTGCATGTTTGAGGTGTGCATATGCAAATGTATGTGCATGTGTATATGTGTGTATGTGCCTATTTGTGAGCGTGTGTGTGTGTGTGTGTGTGTGTGTGTGTGTGTGTGTGTGTGTGTGTTTCTAGAAGGCAGATGAGCTACCAGAGGAATGAAGTGGTGTAGCTAGAGTTTTCCTGCCTGGCCCACAGTCAGGACAAATCTCTCTCACCTGCCAGTCCCACAGCCATCAGACCCAACCAAGTAAACACAGAGACTTATATTGGTTACAAACTGTATGGCCGTGGCAGGCTTCTTGCTAACTGTTCTTACAGCTTAAATTAATCCATTTCCATTAATCTATACCTTGCCACATGGCTCGTGGCTTACCGGCATCTTCACATGCTGTTTGTCATCCTGGTGGCTGGCAGTGTCTCTCTGACTCAGCCTTCCACTTCCCAGCTTTATTCTCCTCCTTGTCCCGCCTATACTTCCTACCTAGCCAATGGCCAATCAGTGTTTTATTTATTGACTAATCAGCAACACATTTGACATACAGACCATCCCACAGCAAAGTGGTTTCCTCAAACTCTCCCTAAACAGAGAAAATAATATACTAATAAAATTAGTTATTTTTAACTGAGGAAGGATCAAACTCATAAAGATTCTGAGAAGCATGTGGAGTTTGGAGACTGACAGTTGTTATCTCTGTATCTGCATAAGGCTAATCAGAATTTCCTGGCTAGTGGGGTCATATAGAAAATAAAATTATATTGCACTGCAGAGCATCAAATTCAGATGCAGATAAATACCCCTACTGCATAGCTTTTGTTTACAACTTAATTTGTCCCCACTAGTTTCTGATACATGAAATTGCTTATAGAGGGAATATTTTATTTCTATGTCATAGACCAACAAATAGGATTTGGGAGTAATTTGAGCCCCCAGGAGGATGATTTCTTTTTTGTTGGTACCTCTTTTTTTTTTTTTTTTTTTTTTTTTTTAAGATAGGGTCTCACTATGTACACAAGGCTGGTTTCAAACTCACAGAGATCCACCTGCCTTTATATCCCAAGGGCTGGGATTAAAGACGAGAACCACTATGCCCGGCTAAAAGGATGATTTTTTTCTCATACAAATCAGGCTATTTAAGGATTCCATTAAATATGAACATTAAAATTGAATGTGAGGACTGTGCTGGAAGCCAGAGAGGGGAGGAAAGAGACATCCAAACAGAAAGACTAAAGATGGGGAGAAGGCTGGAAACCAGTACACAATTTGTTCAGGACCAACGTATTTTGCTGGACAAGTCTCATTTGGCTTATTTTTTTTTATTAACTTCGCATTAGCAGAATGGGGAGCATACATGGAGGAATTTCTCACAGAGAAATTGCTAGAGAGATTGCTTTTTATTAATGAGGTTCATTTATCATCAGCGGGCCCCGCCAGACCCATCACAGGCATTCACAGATGGCCAACAACCTTCCAAGAGATAATGCTTATCTTTGCTTCTCTTCCAAGCTGGTCTCCAGGCTGGGCACACTACAGCTAAAAGTTAAGGGTTTTTCTTCTCGGAAGGTTTTATCACTTCTCTGTGAGGTCATTGGCCTGCCATTCTCTTAGCTGCCAGGGAAGCCCGTGGTTCCAGGCGGCACCAGGAAGCATGCGGTGCCAGGGCGTTTGCATGAGAAGCAGCGGAGTGAACAGACTAGTTTGAACCACACCTACTGAGCGTCTATTACTGCTCTAGCCAGAAAGGAAAGCTTGTGGGGAAATAACCATTGGCCTAGATTATTATTTGCTAGTAGAAATTAAAATCACCCCGGATAGTAAAAGGGCAAATGAGCCCTTCCGATATTATAAAACATGTTGACGTTAACATCTGTGTCTAGGCACCGTCTGGCTTGGCACAAGCCGCTGACTATTCAATCTGCGAATATTTTCAAAGCTTAGGGCTGTGGAGAGAAGAGAGATCCGGGAGAGTAAACTGAAGTGTGCATGTTTTCCCTAGGATTTACTAAGGAGCCCACTATTTACTTACAGTCTTTCCAGAACTCTTTGGGTAAACTTATCGCTTACCCAAAAAGGACGAAGGGGCACCCCCCAGATCCATAGCCAGGACTAGTCTGCAACCTCTGTTTGATATTTTAAGACAGGGGTGTCTCTGTGTCTGATTTCTGCCCGTTTGTCCTCAGCCTTCCAGCCCCCCACCTTTGGGTGAGTTAGCAGGGTAGGTGGTGTATGTGACGAAACGGCACTTTTTTTTTATTAAGAAATTTTTTATTCATTTTACATACCAACCACAGATTTCCCTCTCTTCCCTCCTCCTGCCCCTCAGCCTTCCGCCCCCAACGGATCCCCCATTCCCTCCTCCTATAAGGTAAGGCATCGCAGAGCCTGGAACATTTAGTTGAAGTAGGTCCTAGCCCCGCCCCCTGCATCAAGGCTGTACAAGGTGTCCCAACATAGGTAGTGGGCTCTAAAAAACCAGCTCATGCACCAAGGATGGATCCTGATCCTGCTGCCAGGGGACCCCTTAAGCAGATCAAGCTACACAACTGTGTCGCTGATGCAGAGGGTAAAGGGCCCCTCTTATCGGTTCTAGCACCTCCACAGACGTTCACGTACTTGCGGTAGGACCCACCTCAGTGGGCGGGGTGGAGTCTTATCTTCCAGTCCTGGAGCAGTCAGGCGGGTGCAGGTGGCGATAGGACAGGACTACAGTTCCCAGCATCCTCCACTCCCGCCTGCTGCCTGTCGGCCTGGCGGCCCACACCCGCAGCAGTTCTTCCAGGCTCCGGGTTCCAATTGCAGCGAGTCTCGGTCTCAGGACCCCGGGGGACTCCGGCGGCGGGTCTACAGGACCGGCGCTGCCCAGTCCCGGCGGGACATGGCCTTGAGGCTGGGCCGGCTGGGCGCGGGCCCCTGCTGGCGCGCGGTGCAGGGCGACTATGGACGGCTGCGCGCTTGGTCCCCGCGCGGCGCGTCCGCTCGCGTCTGCCGGCTGCCTGGCACCGCTGGTACCCAGGCTCGCCGCGGGCTGGGCCACAGCCCCTCGGCTGGAGGCGGGTCCTGGCTGGGGACCGGGCTGGCCGCGGCGCTGGCGGGGTTGGCAGGGCTGGCAGCCGCCGCCTTCGGGCACGTGCAGCGGGCGGAGATGGTGCCCAAGAGCTCGGGGGCGCGAAGCCCCTCGCCTGGCCGCAGGGAGGAGGAGGAGGAGGAGGACGACGAGCTGGCTCGCCGCTGCCGCGCCTTCATGACCTCGCCGGTGACCGACCTGCGTGAGCTGCGGAGGAGGCCCGAGGACATGAAGACCAAGATGGAACTGATGATCATGGAGACCCAGGCCCAGGTGTGTCGGGCGCTGGCACAAGTAGACGGGGTCGCCGACTTCTCCGTGGACCGATGGGAGAGGAAGGAAGGTGAGCAGAGGGCCCTCCTGTCACCTACCGTGGGGTGGAGTGGGCCCCAGTTGCAGTTTAGAATTGGGGTTAGGTTAAAGTAGGCAGTACCCACAGGGGATTGATCTATAAGACGGGACACCCTTTAAAAAAAAGGACAGACATCGAGAGAGCCGTGTATTCTCTGCTTGCAGATGTGGACCCAGATGTGTCAATAACGTAGGACTGGCCATTTCAAAATATTGCCATTTCAAAATTCATAATTGCACTTTCTATTGGTTTATTAAGGAACATTTGCAGGCAACAAACGGGAGCTTGCACGTTCAAAGTTCAAAGTGTGTTGCTGAACAGATTTTTTTCCTATACTGCATTTCATCTGCTGGTTAGGGTGTATTTGTCCCTTGTACTATAGAGGCAGAAGGAACACTGATCCTTCATTCTGAGTGTCTACTAAACTCCCTGTGCCAAGAATCTCCCTACTTTTTTTGGGGGGGGGCGTTGCAGAAGAAATAATTTGGTTGGTGTTTCAGTAGCTCTTACTGAATTAAATACATAAGATTTCTGGAAGGAGCCGGAAGGTGGTGGCACACGCCTTTAATCCCAGCACTCCGGGAGGCAGAGCCAGGCGGATCTCTGTGAGTTCAAGACCAGCTTGGTCCACAGAGCGAGATCCAGGACAGGCACCAAAACTACACAGAGAAACCCTGTCTCAAAAAAAAAAAAAAAAAAAAGAATTCTTGGAGGAAAACATTTCCTTAGAGCCCTAAAATACCTGCCATTCTTGTCGAGTCATGTATTGGCGACCATGTTCCCTATATATTCTCCCCTCCCATCTAGATCTTAAACCTGAGGATTGCTGACCTTTTCCCAGCTGGAAATATAACAGCATATCGTCAACACCTTTTGAGCTGTGTTGCTGCCACATCGATGTTAAATGACAATCAGCCTGATCTAGTTTTCCATCTTGTGATGTTTTCAAATAAAGGCCACTGACCCAGGACACAGTTTCACATACTATATAGCTAGCTTTGTAACCTTTGGAAGTTACTGTTTTCTTCCCATGTTTCGTAATTTATGAATATATGTAGAGTGCTTAGAATGTCAGAAACATGGTCAACACTTGAAAAAAAAAATCACTTACTCCTCCCAACTGTGAGCTCTTGAGTATGCTGTCCGGCTTCTCTTGAGTTGTTCTCGTTTGGAATGTTCTACTGGATCATCCTGTGACACAAACACTCTCTCTCTCACCAGCTCTTAGAAATAAAGCAACACAGACATTAATTTTTTTTAAGATTTATTTATTTATTATGTATACAGAAGAGGGTGCCAGATCTCCCTGCAGATGGTTGTGAGCCACCATGTGGGTGCTGGGAATTGAACTTGGGACCTCTGGAAGAGCATTCAGTGCTCTTAACCTCTGAGCCATCTCTCCAGCCCCCAGACATTAATTTTTGAGAAGCAATGGTTTTGGGTGACCCTGTTGTCTTGAAAAAAAAAATCCCATTAAACTCATATACCTAAATAGTTATGTATGTTTTACTCAGTTTAAGATTCTGAATCCCTTAAGAGTTTGAATAGCTACATTTTTAAATTGCATATAAAAGTTAAAGGTAATAGCAGGTTGAGGGAAGAAAACGTGAAACAATATGGAGTTCTTGTATTCAGTGAAAGTAGAACACTGTTTAAATATACCCACTCCTGCCTGTGACATTAGCTTTCTATTTTGTGAATAACAAATAGATTCCTTTTAGTGATGTTTGAAGACAGAGTTCTTTGGTGATTGATTAGGCAATGGTGTAAGAACACAGAAGAAACAATCATTTTCGTGGTTTGTGTCTAGGTTCAATGTTTGCCTAGTATGAACAGCTTATGACAGAAAGCTAAGCTAATCATTCAATTTACTGCACACTAGAATATATGCTATAGATGGTTTTGGAGCTAGAGCAGGAAGTGAATGCCTCATGCTGCTGAGTTCATGGGAAGAGTTGGTTCCCATTTGATGGTCCCCTGTTCTGTGGTTTTCTGTTCCTGTGGACAGGAGGTGGTGGCATCACCTGTGTGCTTCAGGATGGGCGTGTGTTTGAAAAGGCTGGGGTGAGCATTTCTGTCATTCATGGGAGTCTTTCTGAGGAAGCAGCAAGTCAGATGAGAGGCAGAGGAAAAGTCCTGAAGAGGAAAGATGGTAAGTCGGGTTCACTCTCCCTTCCAACTGTTTTCCTGCCAGTTTTACTTAAAAGTAGCTCTTTCTTCTGGGACAGCCATTGGAAGCATATGCCCAGTAAGCATGTTCACATGCTTTCACTGTGAAAAGTATATCTTAAGGGACAAGTTACAGAGCGGCTTATGATAATGGATTCAGAAATCACAGGAGAGTAATTTGTGTCAAACCAGGTGATTGAATGCATCTCACTATGTTATTTCACTTTCCAGGTAAATTACCATTTACTGCTATGGGTATAAGCTCTGTGATTCACCCTAAGAATCCTTATGCACCCACTATGCATTTCAACTACAGATACTTTGAAGTAGAAGAAGCTGATGGTAAGCCTCTCAAGAGTTGTGCGGAATAATCACTGTACAAAGTCTGTCTTTTAAAGAATCGAAAGGTACCCTATCAAAAAGTAAGAAAGGAAGCCCGGGAGGCGGTGGTGCATGCCTTTAATCCTAGCACTGGGGAAGCAGAGCCAGGCGGATCTCTGTGAGATCAAGGCCAGCCTGGTCTACAGAACGAGATCCAGGACAGGCACCAAAACTACACAGAGAAACCCTGTCTCAAAAAACCAAAACAATCGGGCGATGGTGGCGCACGCCTTTAATCCCAGCACTCGGGAGGCAGAGGCAGGCGGATCTCTGTGAGTTTGAGGCCAGCCTGGGCTACCAAGGAAAGGCGCAAAGCTACACAGAGAAACCCTGTCTCGAAAAACCAAAAAAAAAAAAAAAAAAAAAAGCACAAAATTACTATGCTTTTTAGTGGTATTACAGAGGCTTAGTCTTGGCAGGGTGTATAGGACCTGAAACATCAGAATGATACTGATTCTTTCCTCCACACAGAATGATTTTGTGAACCAAAACTTCAAGCCCAACATGATATAAATTTGTTATTTCTGAAATTGAGAACTTGCCATTGGGGGCACACCCACAAGTATATGTACTCTATATACAGTGCATGAGGACCTAAGTTGGGATTCCCCCGACACTTATTTAAAAAGCCGGGAGCTGGAGAGTCTAGACAGGAGGATATCAGGAGCCAGTCAGTATAGCTAATTGGTAAGTTCCAGGTTCAGTGAGAGACCATGTCTCAAAACAAATACAATGGTAAAGTGATTAAGGAAGACATCTGATGTCAGCTGCTGGCCTCTACACAAATGGACACGGATGCATATGCACCCATGTGCACCTGCACACATACAATATTTTATACTAACACGCACATGTATAATAGCTGGTAACTGGTATTGACAACTTATGGATAAGAGCGAGTACATGAAACAGTTGTTCTTACCTGGCAGATGGCTCCCTTAGCGTGTGTTTTCTCCCTTTATGGGGTAAATGGAATGTGTCAGTGGCTTTGGGGTGACTCCTAAGAGTGGGATCATCAGATTCTCCTGCATTGTTATTAACTTTATGTAGAAATTGCTTTTTTTTTTTTAAGATTTATTTATTTATTATGTATGCAGTGTTCTGCCTGCATATATGGCTGCAGGCCAGAAGAGGGCACCAGATCTCATTACAGATGGTTGTGAGCCACCGTGTGGTTGCTGGGTATTGAACTCAGGACCTTTGGAAGAGCAGTCAGTACTCTTAACTGCTGAGCCATCTCTCCAGCCCAGAAATTGCTTTTTCCAATAGTGATCTAGCTGAGATATTTGAGCTGTGTGATCCAAAATTAAGCCAACATTGAGATTCACAGCTGAGACCAGCTGTATGGACTGTTAACACTCACCATTCACTCCCATTTCCCTGCCAGCTTCTTCTCTCTCACTGATTTCCTATCTCATTTTCTTCCCGTGTTTTACATCTTGCCAGCCTCAGCTTTACCAGCTGTCAGAACCAAATTCGGTTAAATGTTCCTTGGCTGTGACCTATTTCATATTCCATAAATTAAGTTGCTCAGTTAAGCTTGCTAGTACTATCCTGGTGTGCGAGAGTCTCGTGGCAACATTGATTCGGTTCCCTTGCTTTGGTAGGTAACACGCACTGGTGGTTTGGGGGTGGATGTGACCTCACGCCAACATACTTGAACCAAGAGGATGCTGTCCATTTTCATCGCACTCTAAAGGAAGCTTGTGATCAGCACGGGCCAGATATCTACCCCAAATTTAAAAAATGGTAAGCTGTTGA